CATATAAAATTTGTAACTTGGAGTAAGATCGATATTGCAAGTATTTATTTGGCTTAAAAGTCTGTGTTATATTTCTCAATTTCACTTTTTCAGTGTTGGGAGTTGAACCTAGGGCCTTCACACTGAGCTGCATCTCCTGTTCCTTTCTTTTATATTTTATTTTGAGGCGTAATCTTGCTAAGTCACTAGATTGGGCTTGAATTTAGGATGCTCCTGTGTCAGCCTTGCAGAGTGCTGAAATTACAGGAGTGTACCACCACACCTGGCCTCAATTTGACAGTATTATTTTCATAATTATTAATAAGTAATATTATAACAGCTGTCTCTATTACTTTTATAAAGGTTTAGGTGAAGTGTGTATGTAGGCTCTCATCTATAAAATATCCATGTATAGTAAATTCTAGCTCCTAATTAAAAAAGAAAAAGCATAAGGAATAATATGGATGTAAATCTCCCCCCAAAATGTTTTCATGTCCTGTGAGCCATATATCTCTGTCCAGTACCCATCCTCTCCCTGTTCCTAGTATATTTTTCTATTTTGGTGATCTCTCCTGTTCCCCTTTTCTTTCCTCTTCCCCTTCCCCTCTGCCTTCTCTTCTCCCTGCCCGTCTTTTTCCCTCCCTTTTATATTGCAGTACTGGGGGCTCAAACCATGGCCTTGTGCATGCTAAATAATTGCTGTACCACTGAATTATAGCCCCTGGCCTTATTTTATTTTATTTTAAGACAAGATCTCCCTAAGTTGCCCAGGCTGGCTTTGAATTTACAGTCCTCCTGCCTCAGCCCTCCATGTAGCTAAGACTACTGGCACTCAGCTTATACTTAGAGTTTTCTGCACAATCTCTAGTTTGTGCCATTTAAAACTCTTAAGATCAAAAGATAGCTGATAATTTATTTTAAGGCATACTTGACAACCTGAAGGCTTTTCGTGTGCTCTGGGAGAAAAGTAGTATATTTTTTCATTTCTACAGGGCTGAAATACTGTAAAAGAAAGTTCAAAACTGTCTACCCAGAAGAGAATAGTGTAATCATTTAGTTGTATTATTGTTACAAAATGTCTTTGTTCCTAAAATTCTGTCTTTTATATTCAAAGTTGCATGTATTGTTAGTCTCTTAGGATAAGCAAAGTGCAAATACAAAATGCTTTTCTTTGTCCTTACCCAAACTGAAGTGGTTTTTCTTTTGTTAGTGAGAAACCTGTACTACAAGTGCAGGTTGCCAGTTGTGTGTGCACCTTTAGTTAGGTACTTCCACATCTTTTTTTTTTTTTGTGTGTGGTACTGGGGATTGAACTCCAGTCCTTGTGCTTGTGAGGCAGGCTCCGGAACCACTGAGCTAAATCCCCAGCCCCGGTACTTCCTCATTCTAAACAGAATCTCTAAAAGTGACTTTATCAGCTATAAAACTAACCATGTGAAAATTAAGACACTTTTAGACTTACTATCACACACCAATGATATTCTTAGCCTTAACTTTAATTCATGCCTACCTTTGTGTTGCGTTTGATTGGATTGGGAAGAGCTTAATTTTAAAACATTTTGATGAACCCTGTTGCCTCTTCCTTTATTATGTGTAGAGCTAGGTATTGGGGGTGATGGGAATTTTTTGTGAAAGATGGGAAGACAAGTCTTTACAAGACAAGGCTTTGCTCATGAGGCATATGTAAGATCTATGAGTACCAAACACAAATAAAAGAAATTCTACACACCAAGCAGTCGATATACTAGATGGCCACTGGCAGAAAGCCCTTGAGTAGGATTATATTAAAAATACTGGAGCACAGATTGATTTAAAGAAAACATTTACTCACTTAATTTCTATGGAGAGTTGTTATAGGATATAGTCCTATGAATTCTACCACTGGGAAAATGCTATAGAAAACAGAGAAATAATGAGAGACTGCTCTTCAAGTTTGATGAGAAATATTTCTTTAAGAGTTGCAAATTTAAGTACTTTCAAGGCTGTAATGGTTTGGATATGTGTACATGTATTTGTATGAGCTGTGAGGAACTGGGAAAAATGTCTCTTCACATTCTTCATCTAAGGGAGATCCAATCACCAAATACTGATGGTCTTTTTGCCAGATGTCTTTTTCAGAAAACAACCAGAGAACTTTAATAGAAAATGTAGGCATGGAAATAATGTTTAAAGAAATACAGCTTAGCTCCCACAAAATATATCTATGCTTTGTCATTTTGCCACTTACAGGTACTAAGTAGTACCTGGGAAAGTTTTTCCCTCTGAGAGATTTGTATATTTTTTGACTAATAAAAGCTGTGGGGTGTGTTTGTATATTTTTGTCTGTTTATAGTTGTCTGGAGTCCATGAGATCAGAGGCAGAAAATCAAAACTCAAGGGTAAATGTATAGGTATATTAACCATTTCTCCCTCTAGTCTTTTGTTTTATCGATTAGTCTATTTTTTTTGTTTTTTGGCCCAATCATAGAAAATTTTAACTGTAAGTAGCTTAAAAAGTAAGTGCATTTATTGGGTAATATACATATATAACATACATAGTTATAGGGCAGTGTTTAGGATTGGTTTGCCTTATCATTCAACATCATCACCAAGAACTTGGCTATTCCAGTTTATCTTCTGCTTTGGTCAGTGACCATATTCTTAAGATACCTTTAAATTGTTCTAAAACTCTGTGTGTTTGTGGCATTCCCTCTTAGGCATGCTGGTTGGTATTGTCACGTTCTTCTAACACCTGCTGCACTGTCTCTAACCATCTCTCTCAGTCTCTCACAGAGAAAAACGTGGTTTCTGAAATGGAATAAAAAAACAGCCATATGATTACTGTTTTATTGTAAAATAAGTCTGCTTCTTTTCTTGGATTAGAAAATTCTGTGGAATTCAACAAAAAATAGCAGTGTCCTGGAGAATAAGAAAACTTTATATAACCAACCTATAATATGGATTTCGTGTAATTGCAGGGACCCTGACCTAAGTAAGAATCAGGAGCCTGGTTCTGAATTCTGGCCAAGACAGTTACGATTTTGTGTGTTTGGATCATCATTTCATCTCCCTGGGTCCTAATTTCTTATTACATAAATGGGAACTAAAAATGCCTTCATAAATAGGCCAATGATAATTTCTTAGAAAATATATGGAAAAACATCTAGTATAGAGGTAGACATAGGACAAATGCTCAGTAAATATTTAACAGAATTTAACATTGAGCTATTTTCTTTTGGTTCTGTCACTTTCATTGAGACCCAGATCTTTGAAGCTGGGCCTTGGAATTCTGTGCAGAAATCCAAGCCAGGTATCTTTCTGTAGTTACCATTAAACTCCAAACCAGACATTCATTAAAACTCATGAAGAAGTTAACAAGCAGTTCAGGTGGGTTAGTTTGCTCATGGATTCTGCATTGTTATCAATCTTAAGTATCTAAGGTCATGTAGTTTATGTGGCATTTCTTCACTTTTTTTGTTTGTTTAAAAAGACGGGGAGCTGGCCTGGTGGCACAGGCCTGTAATTCCAGCGCTTGGGAGGCTGAGGCATGAGGATTGCTAGGATCTTGAAGCTAGCTTGGCCTACATAGTGAGTTCAAGACCAGGCTGGACTGTACAGCAAGACCCTTTCTCCAAAAAAAGGAGGGGGAAAAACAACCATGAGGCCTGGGAGTGTAGCTCATTAGAGCACTTGTCTAGTATGCTAGAGGCCTTGGGTTCTATCCCTAGCATTGCCCCCGCCACTCAGAAGGCTTCATGACCTTTTTATACTATAATCTAAAAAATAGCCATTATTAAAAAAATTATCAAAACTGTACTTGTTATGCTTCTTTATGTGTGTGTATGCCTGGCTGGGGATTGAACACAAGGCTTTGCATGTTAGACACATGCTCTATCGCTGAGCTATACTCCCAGCCATGCTTTACCTATTCAATAAGCTTTTGGTCCTATTACCTGTGTTAGGAACTCATTATTAATATCTTGTTGTAAGTCAAACACCAGTGTCAGTGGCCTGAAGGTTGACGCTACTGCAGTCATTTCTGGCTCTATCCATAGAAATTGTTAAGTGCTTTGTGTTTGGGATGAAGAACTTGAAAGCTACCCCCCCCCATCTTGGCTATAGGTATCTTTTCAAATTTTTGTTTATCAGCAAAATTTTTCCTTCACAGAAAGCTTTTTGGCAGTTTCCTGTGTATAAATAGAGTAATGTGGATACTCATTTTTTTTTTTTTAAGTACCAGGGATTGAACTCGGGTCCTTGTGCTTGCAAGGCAGGTCGCAGAACCACTGAGCTAAATCCCCAGCCCGGATACTCTCATTTTTAAGGATAGGTTTCAGGTGGAAGTGAAGGTTATTTAAGAATGCAGAAAGTCTCCACAGGGCCCAGAGTAGAAAAATCACTGAGTCTTCACTGCATTTTTTGAGTCTTTTCTACGGGTACTCAGATGCTGGGTCCACACAGTAGGCGCTTTATTGTGGGCCATCCTGGCAGCAACAACAACATCATCATTATCATCATCATCATATTTTTTTTTCCAGACAGACGCTCACTGTGTAGCTCAGGCCACCCTCGAACTCAAAGTGATCCTCCAAGGATTACAGGCATGTGCTACCATGTGCTTACTGCTCCATTCTTGCTAGCAGTATACTGTCAGTGGAAAAAAGCACCATCCTCTTAATCTTTGTCTTAAAGTTTCCTCCCGTAATGGTCAATTGGCCTTATAAAAGTTGCAGCAACTGATAGAATTGAGTCTTTTTTTTTTCAGTTTTTTGAGACAGGGTTTCACTACATAGTTGAGACTGACCTGGAACTCACTATGTAGCCCAGGCTGGTCTTGAACTCACAGCGATCCTCCTGCCTCAGCCTCCTGAGTGCTGGGATTACAGGCGTGCGCCACCACACCTGGCTAGAATTGAGTCTTAACACAAAAGCAACAGAATCAAGAAATCAGAGATGATGGAGCATTTTATGTGGCGGATGCTTTTTTCTCTCTTAAATAATGTTAAGAATAGTCTTAAGTTCTTCTGTTCTGTAACCAACAGGAGGACTCACAAATGGCAGTGGAAGATACATCTCTGCTGCTCCTGGTGCTGAAGCCAAGTACCGCAGTGCAAGCAGTGCCTCCAGCCTCTTCAGTCCCAGCAGCACTCTTTTTTCCTCCTCTCGTTTGCGATACGGAATGTCTGATGTTATGCCCTCTGGCAGGAGCAGACTTTTGGAAGATTTTCGAAATAATCGGTACCCTAATTTACAACTGCGGGAGATTGCTGGACACATAATGGAGTTTTCCCAAGACCAGCATGGGTCCAGGTGAGGACTTGGCTTTGGCACTTAAGGTAACTGAAATCTTGATGCCTTAAATTCCATGCCTCACATAGGCATATAGTAAAACAAATTGCCATAGTATAATTCAAACAAAGTATATCTCTAGTATGCTTCCTATTATTTCAGAAGGATATGGATAACGAGGGTCATAAGAGAAATAAACATTTGGATAGAGCCTTTTGTAGTGTAGATCACATGCTTTGAGAAAACCTTTTAGCTTGCTGAAAAAGGAGTCTGTATTTCTAGTCCATACTAACATGAAGGCATGTGCACACTTTTGCTACTTTTAAGCAATATAAAGAATCCTTTGTTCTGAAGGAGAATTCTTCAACTGTAAGTTCCGATCTCAGCTGTGTAAGAGAAAGTCAAACCTACCACTTACAGAGGTGAGGGTGGTAGCTGCTGTATCAGATTGGACTAGGTTTAGTCTGCTTCTTTTTGCTTGGCTGCTCTGGGACTTTTTCTAAAGATGAAACATCCCTCTCTGTCCCCGCGCCCCATAAAGCAACTTAAAATAAACTGTCTTCACTTTTAAGTTCTGGCAGTTTGCTGCTGCACGAGTGCTTCTCATATTTGGAATGAATAGATGAGACTCAGAGACAGCATGATTTTCCTGAGCTAAACAAGACAAACTGCATATCTACTATTTCAGAAGATAATGAGTATTGCTGTTTCTAGATATGTGTTTGAAAGATTATAGTAAAGGTTGAGTTCATTGATGTGGGATAGGCTTCTAAAGGCAAAAGAAAAGACACACTCTCAATTTTGTACACATGCCCTCAATAAAAAATGCGTTTAAAGTTTTAAAAGTTCAGCTACTTAGGATAATTCCCCCTTTCAGAAGTAAAGCTCTCAACTGACTAATTTAAGCAACACTCCGTTTATTGTTTTCACGTGTGAATGCATATTTCAGAACTGATAAAGTGTAACCTATTAATTTCCAAGTCTTTAAATGCTGTGATTGCCCATTTTACTTTGTACCTCAGATTCATTCAGCTGAAACTAGAGCGTGCTACAGCGGCCGAGCGTCAGCTTGTCTTCAATGAAATCCTCCAGGCTGCTTACCAGCTAATGGTAGATGTGTTTGGAAATTATGTCATTCAGAAGTTCTTTGAAGTAAGTTTTTCTTCTTTCTATCCTTTGACTTTAGAGAATATCCAGAGCATTTTGATTCTCACTGGCTTTTTAAAAGAACAATTCTGATTCCATTCCAATTCTTGAAATACAGTGTGTGTGGTCTTTCTGAAGATCTTTCTTAGTTTTATCCAGTTCATTAGCAGTAGTTTACTCTTTTTATATGGTCTCATATGTCCCCATTTAAGACTCAGCATGTTTATTTTTGATTGTCAGAATGGTTTTGTTATATGCGTCACCATTGGAGGAAATAATCATTTTAAGGTAATTTTAAGCAGAATCACAATTAGATATTGTAAAAAATGAAAAAGGAATTGAAGATTCCTAAAGAATTGTTTTTACACACCAACTCCAGTACTTTTCTTCATAAACTAGATTCATTGAATGCTTCTTGGAAGGTCCTTTGGCCATTACTTCTTACTTCACCTCTCTTAACTTGAATACACTAAGTGTTGTTATCATTGTCTTTGGGAAGAAAATAAGAAAACGTTGGTTTCTTTTTTCTTTTGGTACTGGGGTTCAAACTCGGGACCTTGATAGGGCCAGGGATTTAGCTCAGTGGTTCCACCACCTGCTTCAATAGCACAAGGACCAGAGTTCGATCCCTGGTACCCCCCCACCAAAACAACTGGTGCTCTTACGGACACACCCAGAAACAACGTTTGACCTGCTTAGTCCATTTGCCGGCATCAGATGGCAAACAGCAAGTGTTCCATCTCAGTCTCTTCCTCGTCCCATAAAGCCAGGAAAGCGGTCGTGGGTACCCCACCCCCAAAGACTCATCTAGCCTTGATCACTCCCTAAGTGCCCCACCTCCCCAAATCATTAACAAACTCTGGACCTTGAGCTTGTAAGGCAGGCAGTGGAACCACTGAGCTAAATCCCCAGCCCAAGAAAATGTTGGGTTAATATCTGTGTTCTGTAAAATTTCAGAGGAGGAGAGGTGTTTTTTTTTTTTTTTTTTTTGTGGGGGGGCATGCTATTGTTTGCAACCTAATTTATGAATCCAGAATGGCCTTTACTCACTTTGTTCATTTCTCAACCCCCACAACTTGAAGGAGGGGAGCTTCATTTTGGCACCCATTCTAAAAGTTGCGGTCCTTTTATGGTTACTTGGCTCTAGGGAGAAACAGCGTGGTGGAAGGGCCAAAAGGAGGAAAGCTGCTCCTGCCCCCTGACAGCCAGGAAGGGTTGGAGGGAACAGAGAGACAGGCAGAAAGAGAGGGAAGAAAAGCCAGGATAGGAGATAACCTCCTTCTAGGTAAGGCCCTCTTCTGACCATGCACTACCTCCCAACATAAACTCATCAGTGTACTAACCCATCAGTGAGTGTAGCACTCACTTGAACATGAGGCTTTGGTGTGGGAGGACATCCAGATATAAATCATGAAAGGCACAAATTATTGAATTAAGAATCTGTTACAGAAATAAATATTGGAACTCTGAATACTACCTCTGACTAAACAACTTCGTAAAGTTCTTACGTCTTATTTTATTTGGACTGTATGAAGATTACAAAAATGTCTTCTTCTGGGCATGTTGGTGTGTGCATGTGATCCTAGCTATTTGGGAGGCTGAGGCAGGAGAACTGCAAGTTTGAGGCCAACCCTGGGCCAATAGCAAGATCGTGTCTCAAATTAAATCATAAATAAAACAACTAAAAAGGAATTGGGGCCCGGGGATTTAACTCAGTGGTTCCACCTCCTGCCTTGCCAAGCATAAGAACCCAGGTTCAATCCCCGGTACCTAAATAAATAGGCTTGGAATGGTAGCACAGTGGTAGAGTGCTTCCTTAATATGCATGAAGTCCTGGATTTAGTCTTCAGTGTGAAGAAAATAAAGACTTCCTCCTTACAGGTTTTATCATCTTCTGTTTTTCTTATGAAGCCTTAAGTTTTAACTGTACACTAAAATCTAAATGTTTCTCATACTTTTGATATTAGAATGTGTCTATGCTGCCAGTTTGCTATAGATACAAAAGCAGAGAGCTTCTCTAGAGGCTTGTGCAGGTTAGGGTGGCCAAACATACAAGGAGAATATAGCTCTGTGGTTTGGAGCAAGCTAGAAACTTCCCTGGATCTTAGTAACAGAAAATGAGGGGGTGAGACAGGCTGGGAATTCAGAAATCCTTCTTTAATTTCATGATTGTGCTATTTGAAAATAAAAAAGCCACGGTAAACTAATTTTAATGGTTAGCCTTGGTTCTTGATTCTGCTAACTTCCCTCCCACGTCTCTTGGCTCATGTAAATAGTGTGAGTTTTTAGAAAGATACAGTGTCTGTGTGTGGTTTAGCATAAACCTCTCACATAGATGAGTTTTTTTAGCCAGTTGCCCCCAGTACCTTAAGTGCTGTAATTTGCTGCAACAAGTCTTTGCATCTTTCCCAGGCATTGTCTGAAGCCCTAAAGGTATTTCCCACATGTTACTCATTTTAGAATAAATACATGTGCTCTTTAATGAAGTATATTCATTTAATAGTATCAATTAATGACAGCTTTGAGAATTAAATATTTGCTTATCAGAAATACAGATACATCTGAGAAAAAATTTTAACATTAAAAGATATTTCTCAAAATCGGGCACTGAGAAATATTGGCTTGAAGAAACAACGAATCTTTAAATAAAAGGTTAATTAATCGTATGTAACAGGCTAAAGGAGGTTATGTCAGTGGTTAATGGAGAATAGTGAAAACTTTGCTTTCTCAGGTTTCTTTCCTTCTACCTACCTAAGTAATGTGGTCACCCACATGTTACGTTTAGTTTGGCAGCCATGAACAGAAGCTGGCTTTGGCAGAACGAATTCGAGGCCACGTCCTATCATTGGCACTACAGATGTATGGCTGCAGAGTTATACAGAAAGCTCTTGAATTTATTCCCTCAGACCAGCAGGTAATTGTAAGTTTCCCCTTTAACTTTTCTCTTGGTGTTCAATGTTTCTCTGTGGTACGTGCAGTGACTCTTATAAATCTGTCAGTCTTTGGTTTTCTTTCACATTGTTACATTAGTATTCATGGCCACCTTTCTGTGCATGGCAAGCATGAAGCATGCAGTCAGTTTTGTAGATTTGTAATGGATCAAGTGTCTTGTGTTAAAAAACTTAGTGGTTCTCTTTGACCAGAACTTAGCCATTACTGGATACAGTTATATAAGGTGGGTGCTTTCCTTACCAATAATGGAAGCAGGTAAAATGCTAATGTGTTGTCGTTTTCTTCATTCTAAACTTTGCACCACACCAAACAAAAACTTTCATCCAACCTGTGTTCAACTCCCTCTTGTTTGCTCATTCTGTTATTGTGTACTAAACAAATTGCTGCTCTGTGCAAAGTGCTGGGTGGCAGAGCTGACTGAGATCTGATCCCTGCCTGCTGCCCACAGTCTGGTGTGGAAGAGCAGTGGGAGGAGTGATACCCACATGAGAGGGGACCTTTGCCCTGCCCAGTATCCACGAAGGAAGGCTTTGCAGAAGACAAAGCTAAGGAAGAGTTAGATAGGGAAAAGGGACAAAAGTCTGAATGGTTCGATGCTGTGAGTGGAGAGATGACAGAGAAATCACCCGAAGAGGCATCAGGCTTCAGGAATAGTTGCTGAGCGAGCCCACCCATCTCTGCACAGACCGCAGGGCCCAGGGATCAAAACTGCAGCTGTGCTTGAGCCAGGTGGGGCCCCAAGCGTCGAGGTGCTTCTGAGCGCAGTCCTCAGTTGGGTGCTCTGAGCTCCCTCAGCCCTTCTCAACAGAGGGGTCGCCATCGTCTGGCAGTGATGACCCACTTGCCCTCACTGAGAACAAAGTTCGATAATGAGAACCTTTGTTATGGACTCAAGTTCTGAGCCAGACAGACATGCGCCACCCCCAGTTCCAACCCAACCCCATCCAAACCAGCAGCCTGTGGTGTTGGCGATGGCAGCTGACGGCTGGGGGAGTCCAGAGTCCTTCGGGTTGAGTATTTATGTATTTATGTATTTATTTAGGTACTGGGGATAGAACTCGGGTCCTTGTGCTTGCAAGGCAGATGGCAGAACCACTGAGCTTAATCCCTGGCGCAAGTTTATTATTAATTTTAGTTTTCTTGGATAATTGAATTTTCCCCCTCTCACTCCCTCCCTCCCTCCCTCTCTCTCTCTACATATATGTTTTTTTTCCTTTTTTTTTTTTGGTGGTACAGGGCAGTGAACCCACAGCCTTGCATGTGATAGGCACTCTTAAGCTACATTTCCAGTCCTTCTCATTTCTTTTAAACATGGAAGGTTTTCTGCTCTCTTGACCACTTATTGAAAGAATGTCAAAGTGTGGTACTTTCTTTTGTATTCCCCACCCAACCCTTGCCTTTCATTTTGTCACATGAATATGGTACATTACTGATTATTGTCTCTGACTTTTACATTTTTACTCTTCTCTAATTGGATGGGTATATTATGGAAGCTATTTTTGTTTGTTGATCCCCACATAGGCATACACTCCCCTTCCCTTACCCTCAAGCTCTTTCTGTCTTACATATTTTTGTATCTTTTTTTTTTCCTCTGATCATGTTTCTCTTGAGCTGTTCTGTTTTAGGTCTGAATTCCTTCCTGCTATGGATAATATGCTGTTTTTTAGATGCATGTTTGTTACTGTTATTTTAGGTGAAATTAGCTTAGTTCCAAATAGTTTTTACCTCTTTCAGATCAAGGAAATATTTAAGCAAGCCATTTTTCCTTTTGTTCAGATGTTACTTTTATCTTTACCCTGTATAAGCATTAGTATTTATCATGCCTATAATTACACTTTGGGAGTAAATTATTCTCTGTGCTCTTTGAATAGATGCTTCCCTTTTCTTCTTGCATTTGATTAGTAAACTTTGCTTTTATTTTACCATTGTAATCTTGAATTTCGTTAATTAGATGATATCTTAGTTGCTTTGAAATACTCAGCATCTCAGGAATTGAGCCATTTTGTCATTTTAAAATGACTGTAGTCTTCTAACAGAAATACAGTCAGTGCAATGAACAGAGATTGGAGGAAGCATGGAAATTGAGTAGCATGTTATCAGGGTGCAGCCATGTGTAGACAGCTCTGTTCCTGAGGCAGTGAGTTCCTGAGGTTCCTGAGGCAGTGAGTTTCACAGAAGGGCTTTAGCCAGAACCTCAGTGTCTCTTCTTTCTGTACCTTTGTCACATCCATTCCTTAAATAGACATGCACATACATACCCGTTCTCACATTCACACATACGCACTCGGTATGGCTGTTGTCTGTATTCTCTTGTTTGGACATTTTTCATTAGATAACTGAGCAAACATTCCTGTGAACTTTATAGTCATTATGGATATTGAAGTCACAGCCTGGGCTAGAATTCTGATTCTATTGCTTTCTCCTACAGTCTTGCTCTTCTTTTTTTCTTTTTGAGACATGATTTTCTCTAGCTGTCCAGGCTGGCCTTGAAGTCTGGAGCTCAGCCTCTGCAGGGCTGGAAACTATAGGTGTGTACTGCCATACCTAGCTCTATCCAGTTTTAATTACATGGCTTAACTTCTCTTAGGCTGTGTCTAAATATATGTGTATGGAGAGGCTGTGCAAGAGATTAAATAATTAATGGCTTACTAGCAAACACTGGTACTGCACACTGAAGCCAGATTACTTGGGTTTGAATCTTGGCAATGTGGATCTAGAATTTGAACAAATTTTTCAATTTTTTGTGCTTTGCTTCTCCATCTATAACAGCAGTGCCCAGTGCATAGGTCTGTTAGGACTCCATGAATAAAAACATGCTAAGTGCTTACAGCTATGCCAGCTTAGACTTAGCACTAGATTAATGCTTGTTATTTTTAATAACAAGCCTTAACAGGGTTGTCAAAATAAAATCCTGAACTGCCTGTGAAATCTTTTAATGTAGTATGTTCCATATATATACGCTTTATTTCTGTTTGAAGAGGTCTACCTTTTTTTTTTTTTTAATTTTTAAATTTTTAAATTTTTTATTTTTTAGTGCTGGGGATTGAACTTGGGACCTTATGCTTGCAAGGCAGGTGGCAGCACCATTGATCTAAATTCCTGGCCCTACATTTTAAAATGTGTTCCTCCTGGGTTGTCCTACCAGTGGTACATGCATGACTGTCCCCATCAGGCGTCTTGTACCACAGGTGTTACAAACAGATCTAATCGCTTTTATTGGTATTTTTACTATTAAAGTTAATAAAAAGCCCCCCGATGGTACAGTCACACATGCACCACCAGTGGTTCAAGCTGCCCAGCAGCAAGACATATGAATTACAGACCTGTCGTGAATGTGTTAAAGCTCTAAGGAGTCTTTCTCAAGTTAGAGATCTTTTGTGGTACTAGTTACCCTTACTGTAACTTTTACTGTATAGTAGATTTGTAAGCACACAGGAGAACTTAAGCCCTCATTTATTGCCACATTGTCATATTGCCACAGTTGCATTGTTCCACTTGCATTGTTAATAGTTTCCATTCAGTACCTTGATGTCTGTTAAAGAGGACTAGACTGTCCTGGTGTTTGCTTGCTGTGATTCTGTTGGTACTTTCTTTCCTTGTTTCCAATAGAATGAGATGGTTCGGGAACTAGATGGCCATGTCCTCAAGTGTGTCAAAGACCAGAATGGCAATCACGTGGTTCAGAAATGCATTGAATGTGTGCAGCCCCAGTCATTGCAGTTTATCATTGATGCATTTAAGGGGCAGGTAAGTGACTTAGGAAAGACATAAAGGAAACAAATTAATAAATGTTTCTCTTGTGAGCCGCTTACAGAATAGTATTTGTGGCATGTTCTCAATATCCTTTGTCTGAGATTGCTGCAAAAAACAGTCCTCCAAAGTCCATATTACCACCTTTCTTTCCTTAAGTATCTTTGGGCCTTCTCTCCATCATTAATGTAGATGTCTGATCATATTGGAATGAACCACTGTCATCAGAATTGTTAAGATGAAACTTCGTATTTGGTGAATAAGTTTTTTCCTTTAGTTAAGTAATATCCTAATATTGATTAATTCAATTGATTGATTGATATTTGCTTTTATTTTATTGTTTTTGGTACCAGGGATCGAACTCAGGACCTTTTGCTTGCCAGGCAGGCCCGGTGCTTCTGAGCTAAATCCCTAACCCAGATAGTTGCTTTGACAGAGTCTTGCTGTGTAATTCAGGTTGACCTTTAACTCACTGTATAGCTTAGGCTAGCCTTGAACACACATGGCTCCTCCTACCTCAGTCTGCCAAGTGCCAGGATCATAGGCATGTGCTGCCATGCCTAGCTATTCTAATATTTAAAGGATATTTTAAAAATTCAAGTTAATTGCAGAAGTAATCTTGTAGGTCGTACATGAATATATTTTTTAAATAACTGGATGTCCCTTACCTGAAATTTTTTGGAGGAGATATTGTTCACATTGATTAGAACTGTATTAAGTAGCCACCTAACCAGAGACAACTTCTAATTTTTTCTATTTACTTGCACGTTAAAAGTCTGTTCTTGGGTTGGGGATTTAGCTCGGTGGTGCCGTACCTGCCTTGCAAGTGCAAGGTCCTGAGTTTGATCCCTGGTACCAAAAAAAAAAAAAGTCTTTTCTTTGCATCACCTTCTAAGTTGTTAGTTTTTGCTTTGTTTTGGTACTGGGGATTGAACTCGGGACCTTGCGTTTGTGAGGCAGTTGGTGGCACCATTGAGTTAAATCCCTGGCCTCGTTGTTACTTTTGAAATACCTTGGTTTTCCCTGAATTGCCTCTAAACTATTACTTTATTTTGCCAAAAACTAATACTCTCAAAGACTTACCTAACTAGACAGGAGAGTGAAACATACTACTTTTTTTATGTGTAGTAAAAATCAGGTGCATGTACAGTTAAGCCTAGATTGGTAAATGGTTTTGACTTTTTCAAAAGATTTGTAATTTCTTGAGTTATTGGAGTGGTTAAGTAGACTACAGTTAGAATTCAGAGGGTCTTGAAAGACAGGACTCCCTGTGGAGCAGGGTTGGAGAAGACCCTGACCTTGTGTGCCTGTGTGGATTTGTTTTGAACATAGTGCTGGGGAATGGAATCCAAGGCCTGACATAGGCTAGAGAAATGTTCTACTGCTGAGCTGTATCCCCCCACCCAGCCCAGGGAGAGAATATTTTCAAGATCAAAATGTCAGACAGTTGAGGCCTGGGGATTTATTTAGATCAGTGGTTTCGCCACCTGCCTCACAAGCACAAGGTCCCGAGTTCAATCCCGGGTACCAAAAACAACAACAACAACAACAAAAAAAAAACTTTTATTTTAAAATATCAAACAGTTGATATCTACAATAATATAAAGAACCCCTGTAATCAAAGGAGAATACAGTGTAACAAGAAAAATGATCCTAAAACACGAAGTAACATTTGACAGAAGAAACAGTCTGCCAGTAGTTATATGGGAAAAAAGTTGATTCCATTAGTAATGAAAAAAATGCAAAAGGAGGCCCAAATGACTGTTTCCCACCATTGAGTTGGTGTGTGCTGGTGGGAACACAGGGTCTTACAAACTGCTGATAGGAATGTATACTGGCACAGCCATTTTGGTGAATAATTTAGTTTCATCTTTTAATGAGAATTTTTTTTTTTTGTAACGGGGATCGAACTCGGGTCCTTGAGCTTGCAAGGCAGGCAGCGGCACCACTGAGCTAAATCCCTGGCCTAGTTTCATCTTTTAAATTTCAGCATTTATATTTCCCGTGTTCTAGCATTCCTGGCCTTGGTTAACATCTGGTGTAACATCTGCACCGGTGGATATGCCTCAAGACCTCTTCAGACCTGTTTAAAATAGAATTATTCCTCTTATGGGGAAAGACTAAGCAGTGTGCATGTCCATGAGCTGGGTTTTGGATTTCTAAAATACTGACATCAGCCAGCAGGATGCTGTATACCTAGACAGAATAACCTACAGGATTGTCTACTGTCTTGTAAGCAAATGTTGGAAATGTAATGTTGAATGACATTTCCCATATTGCTCTAGGCTATGAGTGTAGCATTTTTACAAAGCTAAACTCAAGCAGAATCATATAGTATATTAGTTATCAGTTTTAAGCATAAAGCTACATATATAAAAGTCATACAGTTCTCAGTGCAGTGACTGACACTTGATGGGGAAACATCCAGTATGTGTTAGCTATTCTTAACTGCTCCTGTCATTGTTACTGATTAGAGACCTGAGGTGCATGTCCTGTAGCTTGGGTGTGCAGAATCAAGATTGAATGTCTGATCTAAAGCCTATGCACTTTTCTGTTGCTCAGATCTCAATAAAACATCCCAGTTGACCTCAGAACATTGTATGTAGTTGGTGTGCTTATGCAAAAGCATTTAGGACTTTCTTTCAGCCTGCCTTGGGATAAGTGGCCTATCTTAAGCACCTCACTCCCTTCAGTTTTTTAAAAACCCTATCTTTTGAGAGGCTGTTTGTTGAGTGACACTCTTGTTCTTAACTATGTATTTTTCATGATGTTTATTTCTGGGCTTGGAAAAGTCCATTTTTGTTCTGAATTTATGCACATTAAATGAATTTCCAAAATAATTTAGGAATAGATTTATTTACATACAAGAGACATACCCATTACTATTTGCACAGAGAACTTAAATACCATTTAGTTCATCTGTGAAAAATAGTGTGATAGTGTGTATAAATTCTTTTGAAGTGTTGAAAGTGGTGTCAATTTTTACTTTATTTATATGTTGTCTGCTCTAGGTATTTGCTTTGTCCACGCATCCTTATGGCTGTCGAGTGATTCAGAGAATCCTGGAGCACTGTCTTCCTGACCAGACTCTTCCTATTTTAGAGGAGCTTCACCAGCACACAGAGCAACTTGTACAGGTAGTGGGGTTGCCAGTAAAGGAACTGCTTATACCAGTGGGCTTCAGTGTGCCCTGGTAGACCTGCGCTAGTGTGTTTTGTTCACACAGTTCCAGAAGAACTTAATGTGCCTTAAGTACCATGGAATCTTGCGGGCCTATCTTTTGTAGCAGCCTGGTTGTGTTTTGTGAGTGGAGCCTAGCCCTCAGAGCTAGAGCTGACTTCTGGAGCTGCTGTGGACTTTGTCACCTTAGACTGTTTAATATTTCTCGGTCTCAATCTCTCATTATTGTCGGACAAACTTAAGTGTATTAGTTGATTGCTTCTTTTAGGCTTTGATACTTTTCTCTCATTCTGCCATTGATTAAATAATTAGCTGTGCCTGTTTTGGACACAAGCCTTTCCAGTTTTAATCTATTACAGAAAGGCACAGTGAACTATTTGTACATTGCTAATGACTTTACTCTCAGAACACTACCTATCCTCCCCTTTTTAAATTATAAGCCTTCTTTTTTGTATGCAATAATTTATGAAGAATTCCACCAGAATCTGTAGATAAATAGATAGATAGATTAAAAAGATACTCTCTTGTCTATTAATAATACGTTCCTATTTTATAATGACAGGGGAAATTGTTATTATTTATTTAAAAATTCTCTATCTGAATACATTTGAATACATTTAGTATTCAGATAAGCCATCATGGTGAACAGGAAAGATTGATGTTACTTAGATGTAAGACTTAAAACAAGCCACAGTACTGGTTTTTACATACATTTTACTTCTCTTGTTTCTTAAATAGGATCAATATGGAAATTATGTAATCCAACATGTATTGGAGCATGGTCGTCCTGAGGATAAAAGCAAAATTGTAGCAGAAATCCGAGGCAATGTTCTTGTATTAAGTCAGCACAAATTTGCAAGGTATGTGCTTTGAGTTCCTGACTTCTTTTCCAGAAGAGAGGATTAAATAGTAATCCAGCTGTAGAAAGAATGAATGATGATTTTTTAAAATATTTTTTCAAAGCATACCTAGCTTTAAAAGTCAAGTAGTTTTACAAAATAAGGACTATATGAAGACTCTTAAGTGGGCCTCTCATTACCCTAGAGTGTGAAATCTGGGGACTATTTTTAAAATATAATACTTTAATACACTGGGTATTTCATTAACTGAATTGTTTGGAGTTGTGGAATGTTTATTGCTCAGGTTCCTCTTTTGCCTGAAAGACAGGCAGTTTATAGTATCTCTATAGGCCTCAACATTCTCAGAATCTCATCTCCAGCTTCATAGTGTCCAGGCTCAAGAGTGAAGCGTGCTAGCTGTTTCCAGGTTGTGAAAGATGTTTTAGGTGACTTATATGTAGCAGAGGCTGGAGAAGAAATTGATGGCTCTTCCATGGAGTTAGTGGGAAGGTCTTCAGGTATGTTCTGACTATCCTGCTGTTTATATAAAACAGTGCTTTACATTTTTCAAATATTGTCTTTCCTGGTTTTTAGGATAAATTGCAGAGCAGGTAGTATTTGCCTAATTTTTATTTATCAGTGTTCACTTTTAATTTATAAAGTCTTGTGACATTTTAACATGAAAGATAGAGAAAGGAAATAAAAGCACCCAAAGTGTGATGGTTTGATAGATAAGAAAGAATGTTTAATAGAACCATTCACCTGTATGGTGGTTGCCATAGAAAGTAGCTACCTACCCAAATCAGACATTTCCAAGCTGTAGTTAAATGACCGCCTTGCAGGCTGGTCAGCAAAGGTGTCATGTACTGGGTAGGTATGGACTTTTTAAAGCACTTTTCTTTCTTCGTTTTTTGTTTTTGTCTGTTTTGTTTTGTTTTTTTGAGACAGGGTCATGCTGTATAGCCCAGGCTGACCTTGAACTTACACCTGTCTTCTGTCTCAACCTTCCAAGTGCTGGGATTGGTTACAGGCACCTTGCCCAGCTCTTGAGGGTTGTGTGATCCAGAGTAGCTCTTTCCCTCTGCATGAACTCTTTTTGCTTGGGAATCCTTCAGCTCTGCCCACCCCCCACTGCTTGGCCTTCCTGTCAGATGTTAGGCTTGGCTCCAGCAGTACACGTACATGTAGTGTGTATTGTTCTTTGCTATCGTGCAGCTTTATTCCCACAGAGCCACAGGTGTCTGATAGAACTAAACAGCAGTGAGTAATCACTCTTGGATGATAAATAGCCATTAGTGTGGCAGCGTATAATTTAATCAGCCTCTACAGTCCCCATGGATTATGGAAAAATGGCGTTTTTAGGGCTGGGAATGTAGCTCAGTGGCACTGTGCCTGCCTTGCAAGCTCAAGGTCCTGAGTGCAATTCTTGGTACTGCCAGGGGGAAAAAAAGTGTTTTAATGGAACCACATTTTTTCTTTTCCTTTCCCAAGATGATGTATTTGTGAAATGTTCAGAAGTGCTAATAGGCCCTAGGGCCCTGTCCTTATTGTCCTGATGGCAGCATGTCATAGTTTAACAGAGGTACTATGGCCTGAGGAAGCTCCTTCACTGAGTCTGGAAGCCTCTGCTAAGTGCCATGCTCTGTGCTGGCAGCAGGTGACAGGCATCAGTGAGACTCATTCCTGCCTTCCATAAGCTCATGGAGGTGAGGAGAGGATTGCTAGGTTAGGGTAAGACTACAGTGACTGTTGGACACCTCAGATGGTGGAGGTGGAGGGTATTTAAAAGCTGACAGTGGGTGGATTTATTCTCCACAAATGCTAGCTCTCTCTCTTGCTGCACAGGGGATCCTCTTCTAAGACTTTCCCTGGATCTGTCTCATTACAGCAATGTTGTAGAAAAATGTGTCACCCATGCCTCACGTACAGAGCGTGCTGTGCTCATTGACGAGGTATGCACCATGAATGATGGTCCCCACAGTGCCTTATACACCATGATGAAGGACCAGTATGCCAATTATGTGGTCCAGAAGATGATTGACGTGGCAGAGCCAGGCCAGCGGAAGATTGTTATGCATAAGGTACGTGAAGTTGAGCAGAATCTTACTCAGAGAGAAGAGGTGCAAGGCCTTGGGTTCATTTCTAAAACACAAAGGAGGATTGCCCTTTTTTTGAGGCAATCACTAGACTGTATCCTGAGTTCCTTTTCTTTTTATGTAGAGTCATCAGTGCCCTGACATGTTTGCCACTCCTGTGAGTATCTTAAGCTCAGTTTTTATGAGGAGTCTCTCTCCTTGCTCTTTAAAAGATCAGCTTACCAGTTCAGCAAGTGAGCCTGCTCCTCTTGCTTTTTTCTCCTCCACTCTGTTACTCATTCCACCAACATCTACCGATCCGATGCTTGCCCCAGGGAGTATATCATCTAACACAAGGACCTGAAGCCTAGTCTGTGAGAGTGCTGGACAGCACATAGCTGACTGAGATCCGATCCCTGCCTGCTGCCCACTGTCTGGTGTGGAAGAGCAGTGGGAGGAGTGATACCCACATGAGAGGGGACCTTTGCCCTGCCCAGTATCCACGAAGGAAGGCTTTGCAGAAGACAAAGCTAAGGAAGAGTTAGATAGGGAAAAGGGACAAAAGTCTGAATGGTTCGATGCTGTGAGTGGAGAGATGACAGAGAAATCACCCGAAGAGGCATCAGGCTTCAGGAATAGTTGCTGAGCGAGCCCACCCATCTCTGCACAGACCGCAGGGCCCAGGGATCAAAACTGCAGCTGTGCTTGAGCCAGGTGGGGCCCCAAGCGTCGAGGTGCTTCTGAGCGCAGTCCTCAGTTGGGTGCTCTGAGCTCCCTCAGCCCTTCTCAACAGAGGGGTCGCCATCGTCTGGCAGTGATGACCCACTTGCCCTCACTGAGAACAAAGTTCGATAATGAGAACCTTTGTTATGGACTCAAGTTCTGAGCCAGACAGACATGCGCCACCCCCAGTTCCAACCCAACCCCATCCAAACCAGCAGCCTGTGGTGTTGGCGATGGCAGCTGACGGCTGGGGGAGTCCAGAGTCCTTCGGATTGAGTTTTATACATATGCCTGAGAAGGTGGAGGGAAAGTTGGAGATATGTAGAATTTAAAGCATGTCCTTTTGTTCATTTATCAAACACTAAGTATGGCAGTTGCCCCTCTCAGGAGGCTTATATTGGTGAGCACCATATGGTTGGTGCACAAATTGGTACCATGATTTCAGGGAAGTATGTGTTTGTGGGTGGGGCAAGGTGTCTTGTAATGTGTGAGAACAGAGAAGTCTCCTCAAGAGAAAGGCATTTGAATAACCCTCTTCAGGAGGAAGGAACTTGATATGCAAAGACTTGGAGACAGGACAAAAGGCTGTATGTGAAGAAGTTCAGCAAGTTCAGTAGGGCAGAACTGTAATGACCACAGCACCTCCACATTCCAGATAATTGTCCTGGCCAATGAGTTAGCATTTTAACTTGGAAGAGGGAAGGAAGTGATGAAACTAGATAGGGACTTAAATCAGCCCAGCCGGTATGGGATTGAAGAGAAGTGGCCCAAATTGAGTGTTCATATCGATAGGGTTTGTTGGTTTGTTGGTTTGTGGGAGAAGTTCTAGGAGTCCCTTACAGTCTCACTCTTTCATTACTAGACAGTATCCTTTTCAGCAAAAGGGAACATTGGGAGAAGAGCAGGTTGATTACTTTCCACTTTCTATTGAACCGAAAAACAATACAGTGTGATGAGAGAGAGATAAGAGACAGAAAAAGAGGTAGAAGGGAGCGAATCATTGCGTTCTTTTTTACAGACTCGTTTAGGGAGGGGTTAAGCAAGTTCTCACACAGCTCAGAATTAAAATCTGGAGAATTTATTACTTGTTTTCCCATGTAGGTCTTAGGTATAGTATGTGATTTGAATCTGTGTCCTGTGTGAGTTCGTAAGTGGTTTCTAGATCTGGTAAACCCTTACTTTGAGGGCACAGCTGAACGGAGTAGTTGCATTCAGTGCTGTCCCTCTCAAGCACCCGTTGCTCTCCTCCCAGTGTGTTGGTGTGTGCACATGCAAATTTGAATGGGCAAATGGGTTTATAAACCATGGCCCTTTTACTGTCTGTGTCCAGAAGACAGTGAACACTGCTGAAGAGTGTAGAGCAGGCCCTGATGAGCTTGTAGAGAATCACCACCTCTTAGTCACTAGTCGTTGAGGTCGGTCAGCCCAAGAACTGGGCAGAAGAGAATGCTTGTAGAGGTGAGCCCCAGAGCATAGGTAGGCAGGATGAGGGAGGAGGGAAGGAATTTTTGGAGAATGCAGACAGTTTGGGTTCATATACCTGTGTTAACCCTTGTCACCCATTTCACCTTTACTGAATAACAGTACCAGTCTGCCTTCATTTTTCTACCAAATAAAATGGGGCTAGGCACTGGCTCGTAATGATTATCATTTCTGTTCTTACTGTGAGCTTTCTGTGATTCCCTATGAAACGAGGAATGGGTCAGGTGAGCCCAGAGTTCGTGGAACCCAGAAATAAACCCTCACTGCGTTGGAGAGCCTCGATACAGTACATGAGGCCAGGGGCCCAGTGTGTGCCCTTGGAGGGAGGCAGTGTGCAGCTGGCCAGTCAGGATGTCCTTCCATGTGCTGTCCCGGGAGTGGCCCGTGCCACCTGGCCCTTGAGCCCTCACATCCCATGTCAGTGTTCATGGGAAGAGCTGCTCTCCTCATCTGACGGGTCGTGAAAACTCTGAAGCTCAGGAGACTTGCTGAACATGTCAGTGAAAGGTATCACTGTGGGAGTGTGCATGTGTGCCCAGTGGTTTATCTGTGGACGCGTGCCAGAGCTGAGGCCAGCATAACGCAGCTTCTTTCCTCTCAGATCCGGCCCCACATTGCAACTCTTCGCAAGTACACCTATGGCAAGCACATCCTGGCTAAGCTAGAGAAATACTACATGAAGAATGGCGTGGATTTGGGGCCTATCTGCGGCCCTCCTAATGGTATCATCTGAGCAGTGCACCCTGATCCCATTCCTGCTGACCTCACTGGCCCCTGGCAGATCAACCAGCAACCTGACATGTCCTAGTGTAGAGCCTGGAATGGGCACATGGTTGCTCTGGATTGCTCCCTCCTCCAAAAAGGAATCAAATCAACCAGTGGAAAAGCCTTTGTAAATTTAATTTTATTACACATAACATGTACTAATTATTTTTTTTAATTGACTAATTGCCCTGCTGTTTTACTGGTGTATAGGATACTTGTACATAGGTAACCAATGTACATGGAAGGCCACATATTTTGTTCAATGTTGTATCTATATTCCATGTATGGAAACTTTCAGGGTGGTTGGTTTAACAAAAAAAAGTTTTTAAAAAAAGAAAAAAAAAGGTTTTTAACTCATTTGCCTCATTGGCAAGTTTTGCAAATAGCTCTTCCCCACTTCCTCATTTTAGTAAAAAACAAAAACAAAAAAAAAACCTGGAAAGTTTGAATTTTAGTTAAATGACCCAAAACCGGCATTTAACACTGTTTATAAAAAGGTGTACATATACACACATGAACCTACACACACACACACACACACACACACACACACACACACACACACACACGTAAAAAATGAGAAACGTTTCGGAATTGCTAAAACTTTGGTTTATGACGTTGCATTCATGAAACTTCTGAAAGCTGCTCCTTTTGGAGGCACTAATGTGCCGAGGAAGCTGATGTGTGGTCCGTCTTGCGAGGAGGCACAGCACCCAGAATGTCTCTCAGGGCCGGGTGGGTGTGACTGTTTACTGCCTACTGGATTTTTTTTCTGTTAACATTGAAAGGCAAAATCTGATTATTTAGCATGAGAAAAAAAAATCCAACTCTGCTTTTGGTCTTGCTTCTATAAATATATAGTGTATACTTGGTGTAGACTTTGCATATATACAAATTTGTAGTATTTTCTTGTTTTGATGTCTAATCTGTATCTATAATGTACCCTAGTAGTCGAACATACTTTTGATTGTACAATTGTACATTTGTATACCTGTAATGTAAATGTGGAGAAGTTTGAATCAACATAAACACGTTTTTTGGTAAGAAAAGAGAATTAGCCAGCCCTGTGCATTCAGTGTATATTCTCACCTTTTATGGTCGTAGCATATAGTGTTGTATATTGTAAATTGTAATTTCAACCAGAAGTAAATTTTTTTCTTTTGAAGGAATAAATGTTCTTTATACAGCCTAGTTAATGTTTAAAAAGAAAAGAATAGCTTGGTTTTATTTGTCGGCTAGTCAGAAAGTAGTGAGATCCTTTCTAAATGTTACCCTGGATGATTCAGTTCACACTAGTGTTTTTTTCTTTTAACCCTAAAAAAGTAATGTTTTGCTTATTTTGTGACAGTCAAAAGGACGTGTAAAAGTTCAACCCTGCCCCAGTTTTCCTTACAATCAGAGCTCCTCTCACCTTGTAAAGTGTGAATTGCCCTTTCCTTTTTGTACAGAAGATGAACTGTATTTTGCATTTTGTCTACTTGTAAGTGAATGTAACATACTGTCAATTTTCCTTGTTTGAATATAGAATTGTAACACTACACGGTGTACATTTCCAGAGCCTTGTGTATATTTCCAATGAACTTTTTTGCAAGCACACTTGTAACCATATGTGTATAATTAACAAACCTGTGTATGCTTATGCCTGGGCAACTATTTTTTGTAACTCTTGTGTAGATTGTCTCTAAACAATGTGTGATCTTTATTTTGAAAAATACAGAACTTTGGAATCTGAGTTTGTCCCTAACTTTAACTCCCCCCACCCCTGCACCCCCGTTATGCCCTAAAATAGCCTCTTTTTCTGCTCATTTTATGAAGGGGATAGGTGGGCAGAATTGGAATAGAGTAGGAGGGTCAAGAAGATAGCTCTTTTTGTTTTGTTTTTTTGAGACAAAGTTTCACACTGTAGTGCAAAACTTTCCTTGAACTCACTATGTAGCCCAGGGTGGTCTCCTACTCATGGCCCTCCTCCTGCCTCAGTTTCCCAAGTGCTAGGATTACAGGTGTGTACCAATACGCCTGGCTAAGCTTGAGCCCAGTTGACCCAAAGATGTGTTGGGTTCACTTTCACCATCAATATCATTTACATAAAAACCTAAATTTCCAGCTTCTGTTGGAAACATTTGCTTCTTGGGGCTGAGTCTGTCTTCTGCAGGCCTGTGCCCTGTAGTCTGACCCATCCTTTAAGGGTGCTCTTCCTTCCTTTGCTCTTCTGCCCTGGCCTCTGTGGCTCTGTGAGCAAGCTCTGTGGTTTCATGGGACTCTTGTGTTACAGAAGTCTCCAAAGGCCAGGCTGTGGGCCAGGTGTCGACTGCTGCAAAGCCTACCTGGGCCTCTGCCTTCTCCCTTCCCCTCCCCTCTCTGTGTTTGGGCCACTCCTGTCTGCATTCTGCCAACCCTGCTGCACTCCAGGCCTGGGCAGTCCCAGTGTCCCAGCCTACCCATATTACCCTGATGGATGACCTCTCCCTGCTTCTAGTGCAGGAGGCCATTGCTCACCAAGTGCCCGTCACTCATGCCACATCCTCTCTTCACCTTCCCTCCAGGAACAGCTTTGGCAAAAGCTGTCACTGAAGCTGAAACTTGGGTCCATGTTGACTGCAGGATGGGCTGGACCCAGGAGGGCAGTGTGGGAGGTCACACCTGGAGGAAAAGGTGGCTGGGGTGTAGAGCTTTTCAGTTCAGGACTGGATTGTGCTTGGGCAGCTGCACTGTGGCCTGGGCCCAGTGGCATTCCCCTGTGATGGTTGCCATGGCCTCCAGAGAACCTCCCTGGGCGTTTGTTCCCTTACATCTGTCTGCCTCCTCTCAGTGGCCCTGAGGGTAGGGGCCCAGGGGTGTGAGCCGTTCCATCTGTGAGGTGGGGCAGTGCCTGTGAGCTTTGTAATACAGCAGCCGGTAAGCAGATGTCCAGTGCCGGCACATGGGAGGTGCTGGCCTGTTGGCTTTCTTCTCTCTTCCTGCCTGTTCACGCTTAAGCTTTGCATTCTGAAGTTCCTTCTTCCTTTGGTCTCTCAGTGTTTAATTGTTCTGTATTAGTGGTAATAAAGCACGGACCAAGGGTGGAAGTGTGATTACTGCCACCCTCGTACTTCAAGTCTTTGAAGCCTTGGGGAGGCGTCTGAGGGTTAAATTAGGTTTAATCCCATCTACTCTTTTTCACCTGGGTACTCCTGAAACTCAGTTTCTCTAAAATGGTAAATACAAATACCAGTGCACAAGACTGGTTGTGAAGATTAAATTAGAAGTTTGAATCGTGAGCACCCTGTCCATAAACACCCCCATATAGATGCTAAATAACAACCTCTTTCCCCTTTTTCTGCACTGGAGCTTGAAACCCTGGCATAGGACCTTTGCATTGAGTTATATCCCCAACCCTTCTTTCACCCCTTTTTTTGAGACAGGGTGTAAGTAGTTAAATTGCCCAGATGGGGCTTGGATCCTCTTGCCTCAGCCTCCTGAGTAGCTGGGAGTACAGAGGTATGCCACTTTCGGGGGACTTTATTTCAATAAGGGGAGACAAGAAGCAGTCCTTGGTACAAAATGAAAGTATACTTTGCCTTTTCTCTTCCTGTAACCTGTGCAGTGGTTATGCACAAATTCTGGCGAAGAAAACAGTCCTTGGTCCTTATGGAAGAAAATCTAATGTCATTGACTATAAGCCTGTGCTGCCCCATACAGTTTCCTTGTGGGTTCTCAGTTGTTCTTGTAGCAGCCCTGCCTGCAAAAAAGTGATTCTCCCCATTACAGAGATCTGTAACTGAAGTTCTGGGTTCTGGTGCAAGTCTGGATCTGCTCTGTGACTTGCTTCCCCTTCAACACTTCCTGCTCGACCCCTTCCTGATGCAGGGCTAGCCTCTGCTGAGCGAGCTGCTCTCTGGGCTCTGCTTAGGCTGCCACTGCCTGGTGCTGCTACCAGGTCTGCTCCAAGGATGCTCAACTGGGTGCCTGGCATGCCTGGTCTCTTTGAGTCCTGCTGGGGCATCCCTTGTATGGGTACCTGGTCACAGTCTGCGGTTTTCAGAGCAATGTCTACAATTGTGATTCCTTTGGTCCTTGTTGAAAGTCCTAGGAAATGAAGTAGTTATTTCAACCCATTGTACAGATGAAAAGTTGGAGGCCCAAGCTTCATTTGAGTCGATAACCAAGTGAAGATTTTATCTGAGGTCTCCTGACCCCCAGTCTAATACTCTGTCCATGCCTTCTTGTTCTTGGCACCTCCCATCAGCCCCAGCAATAGTTGCTTAAAGGCCCCAAGGAGTGAAACATTCCCAGGCAGGAAAGCTGTAACTTTATGTAGTTACTGGCTATAGCCACGCGAGGGTGCTGCTGCCTAGAGCAAGTGTGGAGGCCACAGGGCACAGTAGTCCAAGGTCAGCTTACCCCTGCCTTGACGGGCTCAGAAGCAGTCAGGAGTCCCACCCGGAGAGGTCTGGAATCTGCCCTGAACCTGCTTTCCCCTTTCTTCACTCCTTCCTGTCCCCAAGCATCCCCAGTGCATAGGGCTGCTGTGTGACACCTGGCACATCCCTGTCTTCTCTAGGGTTCAGTTTCCCCAACTGGGCCCTGGGGTATTGATTTAAGACAGGTCTGCTGCTCTTGCGGGATGGTATGGCGTCAATGGTGGGGCTGAGGAGAGCAGTCCCAAGCCTCTGAGTGTAGCCCAAGGCCCAGCTGCTTCCTGCTGGGACCACACCTCTGGCTTATGCACCAAGCTCTCAACCCAAACCTTCATGTCTTCCTATGACCAACAGCTTCAAATCTCAGCTCCACCTCACCCTCTGCAGCCTTTATAAATCACATGTTCTCTTATTCCTCGATTTCCCCAGCTGAAATGGGATAGCAGTAGTTCTACTGCACAGGGTACATTGGAAGTCCTTGTGCAAGGCTGGCCCCACAACCACAAATAAGAGTTGAGGTCCACGTTACTAGTGTTAGCCTGCCTCTGATTTCCCCCTGCTGCACTGGGGCCCTTGCCGTTTGTTCCAGGAGGACTAGTTTTATCCTCCAAACTGGGACACCTTGAAGCACAGAAGAGGACACATTGCCAGGTGCAGCTCCTCGGTGACCTCACAGACCCCATGTGCTGATGTTCTCACCTCGTGGAGTCCCTGCCCACGTGGGAACATAGAGACTTGCGAAAGGGTGGCGTGTGACTTCAGTGAAGCTAGTTCACAACGACACTGCAATTTCTGCCTTCTCTGAGGGGAAGCCAGCAGCCTGGAGGCAAGGCAGGCCTAGGGAGGAACTGAATCCCGCTGGTCCCAAGGTTAACATACTGGTGACAGCCTGCCACCCTGGAAGCAGAGCTTTCGGAAACCTGTAGCCTCAGAAAAGATCCACCCACTGGCTTGCCTTCCTGACCCACGGAATCTACCAGACAACAAAAATGTGCTGTTGGTTAAGCCCTGTGTTTGGTTAACTTGTTATGCAGCGAGATACAACTGAAAAACAGTACAAGCTGGGCGCTGTAGGACTGCCCAAGCAGACTGAGAGACCCACGGCTCATGGCATCCTGGTCTGGGCCCAGCCCTGCCTTCCCTCTGGGGCCTGGGGGAGTCTGTTCC